GAGTCCATCTTTTTGTAAGAATTACTTATATTTTGTGAGGTTTTATTTAATTTATAAAATTGCAAGATAGACATTTGATTCGACAAGAAGAAGGTAAAGAAAATCGAAGAATGAGAAGAAGAAACAGAAAGTACCAAAGATTGGACATCCACTTTAATCTCAAAACATGAAAACATTAATTCAAAGAAACATTTCGTCAAAGGTTCGTTCAATGTGCAAAAAAGCGAGAATCTTTTTTTCTTTTTCTTTGTGAGAGGCAATAAAATGGATAATATATAGTTGAATAATGTTTTAAAAAAATGTAAAACAAGTTTAGGTAGGAGTTTGAATAATTGAATACTGAAGTTGAAAAAAAAGTCCGTGGAAGTGTTATCAAAGTGTGATTGAATAAAGGGGTATTGGGCATCTGAACTTTTATTTTGTTGGGAAGGTTCGACTCCCCCACCTTGTAATTTTCTCTTCCCTTTCCTCTTTTCTAACCTCCTTATGTAATAACTAGTTTCTGGACACGTGCATTGCACGTGTACCAATCTTAATTGACATAAATTGTTTCAAATTATCATTGTATCAAAAATAATTTTATAATTAAATTATATGAATATCATTCATTTTCAAACAAAAAATAGTTTAAATATTTGAAATCTACTCTTGGATATCAATAACAAATTAAAATATGACAATAAAGTATCTCTTCTCCAAATGAAATAAAAGATAATAATATTTTGTACTTTAAAATTCTATAATTATAAACACAAATTAATATATGTATATTCTTATCCTATATGTTAATTACCTACAAGACAATGTTTAGAGAAAAGAAGAAAAATAAAAATGAAAAGAATTTGATAGCCACTTTTTAAAGTTAATTAAAATAAAATGAAGGCTACAATTAATAATCAATATTAATTTTTTGTTTATTATTAAGGGATCATATCAAGTATTGGATCCTACCAAATTAATTTTTTCAAAAATTAGCTTAGACTACAGAAACATAGCATCAACGGAGTGACAACTTAAAATATGAAATGGTATCACAAGTTGAAACATTGAATTTGCCTTTCTCAAAGTGAGACAAAGGGATAAACAAATAAGGATAAACATTTATATCATTATTTCTTCCGTAAATTAAAGAAGTTATTAATAATTTAGTCATATGTTACTTTATCCATTTCAAATCATTCATCGTGTTTCAATCTTGTACACCCCTTCAGAAAAAAATTGATTAAAAAATGAAGTTTTTTTATATTCTATCTTACACACCCCTTACAAAAAATAAACATAAATAAGTAATTAATAAAATCGTAAGAACAAATTAAATAATTTTTATTATCAATTAATATAGTACAATAATTTAATAGTTAAAAAGATCAAGTAAATTATAATTAATTTTTTTTACAAATTACATCACACAAGTATATTAGTAAAGAGTCATGATCTTATATTTCGATGGATGACCCTTTATTTCACATTCAAAGAAGGAAACTATGTACTGAAAAAAACACATCCTTCTTGAAGATCATTCGCCTTTGTTCTTCTAAAAAAAAGAGCAAAAATATTGCTTTGTGCATCCCTAAAGAAGTTGATCCCCCAAATCTTAGCTTGCCTATTCCTTGAATCACATAATGTTGTTTAGTCCAATATTTTCCATATTTATAGATGACAAATGTAGGGATAAGTGCAAATCATGATATAAATGAATGAGAATATCAATAGTTTTTCTTGGATAACATGATTTTTTGCTAATACATGAACCATATTAAATTACTTGTAAATTTCAAAAACCTTTGAAATTCGTAAAACAGATCTGTTATTATTTTTTTGTGCATTGAAACATTAATGATTGCGTAATAATTTAGTTTTGAAGCATAAGTCATTAGAGGAACAATGTTAATTTAGTGAATAAAAAATGGTCATTTAATTTTTTTTAGAAACATTTAATATTTAATTAATTAGTTTTTTATAAGAAAAAATGATTTTGTGTGTGTATATATATATATATACATACATATTTATGATATATGATATGATGATGATGATTAAATTAAATATACATATAGATTATAGGTGATAAATACTATTAAATTAAATATTTTAGTTAGAAATTAATCTAAGGAAGTGCAAAAGTCATTAACATTTTTATTAAAACGATACAATTTAATATAGTTAGGAATTAATCTAAGGAAGTGCAAAAGTCATTAACATTTTTATTAAAATAATACTACAATTTAATATTTAAATTAAATAATTTATTTTTTTATAACATTTTAATTTTTAGTAGGGGTAAAATCGTAATTCAACTTTTAACTTTTTTTGTTCCTACTTATAGTAATATATGATGATATATGATATGATGATATATGATGATGATAATTGTATTTATTAATTTTTTTTTTATAGAAAAAATGTTTTTGAATAAAAAATTCACCTGGAAAAGGAAGAAATGATGACTAAAACAAGTATTCCACTTTAAGTACACATTCAAAACAATATTTCAATACTTCACTTAAAACTCAAAATTAAATAGCTAAACAAGTAGTTGCAAGAAATGTACTCTCTTTATTGTTTTCCCGAAACGTTTAGCTTAATAAATTTCATGTTAAGCTAATTCAAACTTCTTTGATCTATTTAATTGAGACCTTATTTATAATGCAATTACACCTTTGCTCCAATTACAAGTTTCATTTCTGTATTTACTCTTGACACGTAGTCAGAGGCGGAGCTAGGTGGGGTTCATGGGTTCGGATGAACCCACTAGCTTTTTCGTAAACTCCATATTTGTATTAGAAAATTATAAAAAAATATGTATATTAACTTGTGAACCCCCAAACAAATTGATTTAGAACCCCAAACTCCTAATTTTGGTTCTGCCTCTGCACGTAGCAACGATCCTCTTTTTTTCGACCTGTATTTTGCAAATACTGAAATAGTATGGCTAAGTTTGTTCATTAGCTAGTAATGTGCAGCTAATTTTCATTATGGAACTAGATATTAGTGCCAACCAAAAACATGTTTCTTTTCTTTTAAAAATTTAAAGTTAAGTAAAGCAAAAGCATTTACAAAATGAAACTTCTGAAAAGAAAAAGAGAAAAAAAGTGAAAGGTATATAAAGCAAAAACCAACAGCAAAGATTCTCCTTAATCAGCATAAACACTTTCCTAATGCTACAGTCTTCCTTAACTATACAAAATCTTGGTAGAGAAAATCAATGTCAACATCTTCAAGTAAATCTCACATGGCCATTTCATTAGCAAACAATTGCATATCAACTTTGTTCATCTTTATTATTTTCCTTTTACTTCAATTTCTGAGCATAACAGAAGCTCAATCAAGCATTTGTAGAAATTCGTGTGGCGATATCCCAATTCAGTATCCTTTTGGCATTGATGATGGCTGTGGAAGTCCATTTTATCGACACATTCTTGTATGTACTGGTGGTCAGCTTCAACTTAGAACCCCTTCTGGTAGATATCCTGTTAGAAATTTAAGTTATATCGATCCACATATTCTTGTGACCGATCCCTTAATGTGGAATTGTCTAGATGGTGACAATTTTCGACCTACCAGGCCTTTTAGTCTAGACACTAGCACACATTTCACTTTGTCCTCTGAAAATGACTACTTGTTCTTTAATTGTAGTGAAAGTGATGTGTTAGTTGAGCCAAAACCAATGTTCTGCGAGCGTTTCCCTGATCAGTGTGATTCAACTTGTGATAGTTCGAGTTATCTTTGTAGGCACATGCCTGAATGTCCTACTGCTTTGAGGAGTAGCTCTTGTTGTTCTTACTATCCCAAAGCTACTGAATCTTTGAGGCTGATGTTGAAGCATTGTGCAAGCTATACTAGTGTGTATTGGAGGAATCTTGGTTCAACCCCCGCGTTTGATCAGGCCCCCGAGTATGGGATTAGAGTTGATTTTGATATTCCAGTGACTACGCGATGCCTGCAGTGTCAAGATACTGTTAAGGGAGGAGGAACTTGTGGCTTTGATATAGAAACACAGGATTTCTTGTGCCTGTGTGACAAAGGGAACAGTACCACTTACTGTAATGGTACGTACGAAGGATTTAAGTTATATGCACTTAGTATAATTTAACATGTTAGAGTAAGTTAATTGATCAAATTTTATTAAATGGAAGTATATACAGCTCAAATTGATTTGTTTTTAATGATTTGCAGATCGTACAAGCTCTCACAGAAGAGGAGTCGTAGCAGGTAAATTTTATCGATCAATTCCTCACATTGGCTGATTGATATATTAAGATCTTTCAATTGTATAACTTAACTATTCGAATTGCTGCAGGGACAGCAACTGCAGTTTCAGTTGCCGGGGCATTTGGAATAGGAGCTGGTGTATGGTACTTGAAGAAACTCAGAGCAAAAGCACCGGTAACTCATGGAGTTCAAACCAATGAGAATAGACTCTTCTGAGATTTTTAGAAGTAAACTAAAAAATTGCTCTATTTCTTCCTTTTTTCCCACTTTTCTTTACCATGTTTCGACTTGTCCTCACCCCCTCCCCCTTCTATCTTTTACTTTTTTATATAGCTTAGTTTATTCTTGCACTTTGATTGGTTCTGTTTATAAGTTTAAGGATCAACTTTTTGTCTTAGCATGTTTTGACATTGCTTGTATGTGGAGTAAGGAATGTCTTAGAGAACCACTGCACCTTGTGAGGCCTTTTGTTTTTTGTTCATTTATTTGAATATCTCTGATGTCTAGTTTTTAGCATTAAGTTCTGTTGCAATTAGTACTCTTTGCTAACAGAGATATTGTAGATCATGATAGAAGCATATACAATTCAACAAACAATAGAATTTACGTTCTATTATACCCTTGAAAATTCATTGTCATTTCTAAACAGAACAAACTGTGTATAAACTATGATAAGGAATACAACTTTCTTCATATCTCAAAGAAACTTATACTCCTAATGCCTGAATCTTTCAAGCTAACTATGGTATTTGCGAAGTATAAATTAGACATGGTAAGACATTAAAAAATGCTGCCAAAGATAACAGGGCATGCTGATGATAAGAAAAGGAAAGAAGGAAATTTTCTATCAGCATTTAGCAAGGTTCATTGACAACACATTGAAGAGGACCAGCATTGGAAGTTAAAGAGGGAGTAAATGCTCCGTGAGCAACAATGAACGATTGTCCTCTCGTGTATTTTGGAGCAATACTTCCATATCCAGATGGAAGAAAATAAGCTCCATTCATAAACATATCATTGGAGGACCTCCATTTCCAACTTTTCCATCCTTTGTCTTCAGTCTCCCTCTTGGTGACCTGTAACACAACGATGGCGATGACATTAGTATAAGTTGTTTTTTTTGTGATTTCCAATTTCAGAACAAGTAGTTTGATGTTAGTATACCTCTTTGTTGTAAGCTTTGTCAGGAGCAATGAAATAATTTCCTTCACTGAATATTGTTGGATCTGCACTCCCACCAATGGCATACATTAACCATTGATCATAATAATTGTTGGCCACATGAGCATACCCATGCCTAACCCTGTTAGGTAAAAAATTTGTCAAATGTTTGATAATCTTGCTCAATTATTTTGATCAATCTTGATTATGTACCTTGGCATTCTTTGAACTAATTCGCGGCCAAAATGGTTGTAAACTACTGTGACTTTCATTTTTCTGTCCGCAGTATATTCATCGTTGTGTCCCAATAACATAACCTGGAAATTTGATTTAAAGTCAGAACTAAAACATCACTACATGTTTCAACTATAATATATTTTTGACTCGAATCCATTGCCAGCGACATGACTTACTTTGTCATGCTCAGTGAAGTAATTGTTGGAAATGGTTACTGCAGTTGAAGCATGAATAACATCGAGTAGTCCATCCGTTGCACGAGCAAGATAGCAATGATCAATCCAAACATTCGACGATGTAAACACACTTATAGCATCACCATCAGAGCCTAATCTTTCACCAACATGTTCAGGACTACTCCTAACCATACCCTTTTTACCAGGCTTACAATCATGGATACTAATCCCATGAATAATAACATTTGTGACATAGTCCAATGTGATACATGGACCATTAGAGATTTCTACTTTTGCTCCTCTGCCATCTATAGTCTTGTAACTATTCACCATAAGTTCATTTTTAAGTGTAAGTACCATGTCCCTTCTGAAAATAATCCAAAGTGGCTCAGACTGAATTGCACCATACCTAAGTGTGCCTGGTTTAGGATTTATAGGGTCATCAGAAGAGTCAGTGACAATATAAATGTCACCATATTTACCACCTATGGTACTACTTCCAAAGCCTATTGCACAATCCGCTAAAGCCTTTCGATTGGATGACCAATCGCCTTTCCATCTCCAACACGAATCGATGACATTGAGGAGGCCATTTTTGTGAGGCTGAGGATCATAACTTATTGATTTAGTTTCCTCTTCATCACTTGATTTACTAGCTACTATGGTGAAAAAAGAACAAATAATTAGAAGCCATGAAAGTATTTGGAGGGAATTAGTTGATTTTGCCATGGCTTAACTATGTGATGCAATGAGAATAATCATAAGAGTGAAATTTAAATAGTCTATAGTAGTAGTGGTTGGCATGTTGGAAAATATATCAATTTCAATTAGCTGTTTGGTGAGATATTTGGAACTTAAACATTGAACGTGAGAGCACGAGCTACAAAATTAGAAGATACGTTCAACTATTCGAGTAAGCATTGCCTAGGTATAAAATACTCCACTGCGAACAAAGTCTCATATTGATAGTTAATTTTATTTTTTTTTAAAATTATTTGTAAGATGTTTGATTCTCTCAATGGTGTGAAACCTTTTAAAAAAAAACGTGCAAACTTGATCCAAAATAGATAATATTACACCGTATTCTTTAATCATTTTAACCCCGTACAAAACATAGCATTATATAGATTTGAGGAGAATAAATTATCTTCAAGTTTTAGGACTACGAGTTCTAATATAAGACACGTGTTCTGTAAGATGCTAGGAGTATAACTAACCAATGCACTGGAAAATCATGATCCTTGCTTTTGGAATATCCTACAATTAATGATACATTAACATTAATTAATAATTTAATATTCATGAAATCTAGACCTTGCCACATAACGATTCCATTTCTCATATAGTAGTAGTGCTCAACATTATTAATAATTGATGAGTCATGCACGTTAATTAAATCTATCTCGTCGTTACACTTTCAACAAAAAGGAAAATTCACTTCAAATAATCACGTCCAGTGTTTTAAAAAGTGGGGACATGAGGCGAGGCGTATTATACAATATATGCGTAAGCTTCGAGACACGGGGCGTAAGTCCTATGAATCTACGGGGCATAGTCTCATATCTATTCAATTTTATAGTTTTATTACTAATGATATAAGCAAAAGTAAATCTTTCAATGATTTATGATTTTTATTTGAGATAAGTATTAATAATCAATAATGAAGAAAAAAAATTATAATTACTATTTGAGAAATATCATTACACCTATAATATAAATATGAGTTAAAGCAAAAAAGGTTCAAAAAAATTTAATTAAAAACACCCTTACGTTTTTATGCTCCGGGATTATGCCTCAAATTTTAGGACTTACGCCTTATGAATCTATGTCTTTAATTTATGCCCCGAAGCATTTTCAGCACGCCCCGCCCCAAAAACGTTTTTGAAAACACTGATCACGTCTTTACTAACCAATGCTCAAAAAACTAATTAATTTCTTTTGAACAGTACTGTTTGGAGACTTCGACCAAATCAACCTCAAGTTTGGTTTATAATTCTATATCAACATATATCTGCAGTAGATCTTCAAAAATGTTGTTGAAAAAAACCCAACTATCTTATAATTCAAAATTAAAATATTTTATTTTCAAACTCATTAGACCTTTAAATATGTAAAAATAAATCAAAAATAGAATAAATGTGCTATGCAAAATTAACTAGTTGGAGTATAACGTACGCCAATGATATTAATAACATAAGAAGATGAATCAACACATTTTATAAATTGAAAGCTCTACAAAAAAATATCCCACGAAGGAAAAAGAGGTTTTGAAAATCAAAATCAAAACTAAAGTAGAAAATCAATAACATAAGAAGATGTGTTGAGATTTAAAATTCTATACTAATTGAGGGCTAATTTTGATATTTTAAAAATAATGCCATGATTCAATTAATTTTGCTGTTAATTTAAGATCAAGGGATTTATTTATTCCTTTCAAGAGGTAAAGAGGGTATGATTCTAATTGTGTGTCAGTTTTCCTTTTCCTTGATGAAATTTTTTCCCGAAATTTAATTCAGGCAAATCCCTTTTACTTCCAATGGAAAATTATCTTACAAAAGTTTTTTTTTCCCAACATTTACTTTTTTTTTCTTTTCCTTATATGTTTGAATGGGTTCAAGATAGATTTAATGGTTGAGTTCAAATGAATTTATACGGATCAAAATAAATTGAGTTGATAAATAAGTAAGTCATATCTAATTGAAACTTAAATAAATTCGGATAGTCATATTTTGTGGGCTAATTTTACTATCTTTATTTTGAACGAAAAAAGAAATGTACTATTTTGTACATAATATATATATAGTAATATCATTTGCACGCTTAACTTTAAGCTTGTGTTTGAACATGTGATATAAAAACATGATTTGAAATAAAATAAAAAAATGTCACTTATAGAACTTATTTTTATTACCTAAGATTAAAAAAGTCATGCATTTCTCTTTTTTTTTTTTTTTTTTTAAATAATAATAATTTATTTAACTTCATCCACGAATCAAAAAGTAATGACTAACAGTACATACTTACCAGGGCTCGGGTTTGAGCCCTGTGTATGGAGAAAATCCTGTTGGGAGCGCCATCCTCGAATGGGCCCTGTAGAGCGCGATCCGGATTTAATCGAAGCTCCAATGTGGACTCCGAACACCGGGTGGGAAACAAAAAAAAAAACCGGAACATACTTGCGAGTTGCGAATATTATTATTTATTCAATTTAAGCAAAAAAGGGAAAGATCAATTGAATAGATCTTTCCAACTATATAAACTAACTCATATATTTACATGAAAGTTTTTTTTTAATGAATAATACAATATCCAAAATGGATCCTCAATACAGTAGTCATCTCATTCTCAGGGATTCTAATTTTTAAGACTCCCCATTTGGTAGAAGTAAATAAAATAAAATTAGTGCATAAATAAAACAAACAATTATGCACTTAAATAATTCCAGGCCAAAAAAAAGGTCAACATTTATAAGAAGTACAACGCAAAGGTCCAGCATCAGCAGTTAAAGAAGGAACCATAGATCCATCAGCCACAGGAAATGATTGAGCCTTTGAGTAATATGGATTAGTAGTCCCATAACCAGATGGTATAAAATAGGCTCCATTCAAGAATTTATCTTTTGAAGACCTCCACTTCCAATTTTGCCATCCATTCTTAGATTCCCTTTTTGTAACCTATCAACCCAATGATAATATATAATGTTGTTAGTAATATAAGGTTGCACATCAACTTTGTTCAATTTAATGATCGATATACAGAGTAGTTCGTTTTGAATAAACTAAAAAGGAAAGAATGTCACAGACTTAGACTCACTTGTGTGGATTTAGATGCCAAGAAATAATTTCCTTCACTAAAGATGGTTGGATTAGCGCTTCCACCAATAGCATACATCAACCATTTTTCGTAACGATTGTTGGCCACATGAGCATAACCTAGCCTCACTCTGCACGTATATATATTTGTCTACTTATGTAAGAAGTCGTAATTTTCAAATAAATAAATATGTATGTAGATGTGTGACATTTATTTTTTTGTGGGGAGGGGGAGTTGAGAAATTATATTTACCTTGGCATTCTTTCAATTAAACCAGGGCCAAAGTAGTTGAAGGCTACTGTGACTTTCATAACCTTATCTTCTATATTGTTATCATTGTGCCCAAATAACATAACCTGCTCATCAGACTTTTGTCAGAATTAAAAGAAAATGACACAAAATAAAAATCATGGTTTGCACTAGCTAGCTTATTTAATATTTCGAATCTACCACTTCATTAAATGCAGATTCTAATGTCTCACTAAGGATGTATTTGGTAAGTAAGGAAAGGAAAATCATCTCAAGAAAATTTATTTGTAATCTAGGGAAACATATTGGGGTGGAGGGTTGGGGATATTGTGTGTGTGGGGGGGGGGGGGGTAAAGTG